ATTAAATTATTAAAATTATTTGTTACAAAATTAATTTGACCATCAGTAATGTTGAGCGGGGAAATACTATCAGATCAAGGTCCCATAGCACCAACATTCTGCAAATCTTAGAGACTCTGGGTCTATTGTGGAAATATCACAACACCCACAAACAAGAGCAATGATATTTGGTAACTTCAGTGTCATGAATTCTCTTTTTCTCCTCCTCTCTGTACATACTGCTGCTTTTCCCTTTTTTCCCCACCCCTGCCTTTGCTATCTCTAACTCTTTCTGTCATTCTTTCCTTCTGCCTTATATCCTGCCTACACCACAGCTTAACAGAGTCAAGGGATTCATTTACAAGTGAGACTGGACCCTCACTCTACTGTATTGATATTGTAGAAAAGAGATGAACACAAGAACATGGAATTAGCTTTCATAAATAGATGCATTTTTCATGGTAGAATAGAAATCATAAATACATTTTCCACTATACATGTTGCAGATACTTTTTTTTACTGGTCAGGTATTCAATCAAAACTGCTTTTCCTTCTAAGCAAGCAAAGACACTACTCCTCACTGAGTGAAAATGTCACTGCTACTTCAGATATTTCAACCTCCGGAAATTTTGTGGTGTCTTGTCTCCTTCAGTATAACTAGAACTCTGAAGACAGTAGAAGTGGGTAGGTGTTTCTGCCCACATTTTCATAGGTAAACCAAAATTAATTTTGAATTTTTCCTTCTTTAAGGGCAGATGAAACATGAAAGAGTCCACTGGCTCTTGGATTGCCCCCCTGCACCATTTTTCAAGGTGCATCTGTTCAATTTTTTCTATGCTTTAGCTATGACAAGACATAACTGAGAGTGGGATTCATCTCACTTAACCTCAGAGACCTGTAAGATAATTATCTACAGCACTGAAGCTAGGCTCCGCTCCCTTTGTAGCCCACAAAGAGCAACAGCCGTGAGGAAAGATTCATCCCATCTATTTTAGATTACCTAGGATGCTATGAATTACCTTCTGAAAGTACCACTTCCTCTCCACTGACTCCACTCTGCGCTACAGATGCGTACATTTTTTCAAATCAGTGTCTCCTTAAATATGTAAAATGTTTCCTAAGTCTATTTACATCCTATCCCTTTAAATTGCAAAGTTTTTTTGAAGCAAGGACCGTCCTCCCTCATATGCATGTGCAACAAACAGGACATTAGTATCATCATAGCGTAACTGTGGACTTTATCACCATAATATGAAACAACACAACAACGATAACGCTAATTCCCTAAACAGATTAGTAGTTACAGGCCATGGAAAACCAATGGATAAAGAATCTGGAACGCTTTCTTAAAGCAAAAAAAAAAAAAAAAAGAAAAAAAAGAAAGATTTTTAACAGCCGTTGCATGCAGCACAGCTCTGAAAGGTCAGATATGCTGACCAATCAAAAAGAAAGCTTTGTCCTGCTTACACAGTCTCCCCTTGTTGCTGTTGTGGACTCTGATCCATTACAGCAGCCACTCAGCAGCAATAAATTTTGTTCATGGCCTCTAGCTTTTACAAAGAAGGTGAAAAGAGGGACAAATATCATGTTGTCTCTCAAGTCCTTAATTAAAAAAAAAAAAAAATCAGGGAGGGGTGGAACCCCAAAAGAAGCCTTTTAACAGAGGTGAGGACAAGTAGATTTCTTCTGTATCCAGCAAACAAAAAAGGGAAAAGGCTTCTAATCCCAGTTTCCAGAGGCTGAGCTGCACTTCCTTTTCAGGTGATCCTCTTTCCCAAGCTATTATCTGTTTTAGAATTTGTAATGGAAAAGAGCCGTCTTCTCTAAGTCATGCCATAAATCAAATACTACAGGGCAAAACTCAGCTCTTGGAACCCTCTTACTAGGATCCTCGGATGTACTAAGTATGGTCAGATCTTCACAAACTATATATTCCCCTTCATCTCAGTCGTTACAGCTAGTGGGCTCGGCAATACCATGAGGAAAAAGAGAGATTCAGGTAAAGGTGATATTCATATAAATTCAAAAGCTTTTGGGCAGGAAGACTGCCCTTGTGGAACTAGGTGCTGGTGGCTTCACAGTTAAGAATGTTATATAACTTCTTCAAGCCACTGGAGGCAAAAAGTAAAGTGGAATAATACACATGGGCAGATGCTGCACTTGCATAAGGATGTGCAGCTCTGAAGTCTGCACTGTAAATTATAACATATTATTACAACAATAAGCCACTCTCCAGATCATCAGAGGCATTAAGGCTTTTGACACCACCTGATATTCTGTTCACTAAGTAAAAATATAATTAATGAAATTACATACACTTTATTAATATTAGGCTTTCAACCTCAACCGCACTACCTACGTTTTCTTCTGTATAGAACTACTGATGCACAGCTAAAAACCCCGCTGCCCACAATAGTCTCTTTAGCATACACAGTTCTCAACTAAACATGACATTACTTCTCCTGTATTCAGACTGACCTCTCTTTTCAGTCTAATAGTAGTATTTTCAAAATCATATTACATTCCCTTGCAGGCTCCCTCTAATTCAACATACACCTTCCGAAGTGAAACCAACCAAGTTTGTGATTTATGGAGTTGTGTGGGTACAACTTAGTAAGTCTAATCAAATTACCAGGCTACAAATAAAAGCCAAATTTACATAGAAGGGTTTCCTTTCACAAATGAATAAATGCTGAATACATAACTTTGAGAAAAACTTGCAAAGAAAAAAGCGGGGGGAGGAGAGGGGAGGAAATAGCAAAGTAAGGTAATTACCTATCTCCCTTTGGTTTTCTTTTTTGTACTGTCTTCCCTTTGGGTCGTCTTTCACTTCCTAAACAGGGGCTCCCACCAGGGCCTGTTACCCGTATTGATTCAAGGCCTTTGGAAGATTTCTTAAAAGTAAATTCCACTGGTTCTCCTTCTTTTAGGCTTCTAAATCCTTCCATGTAAAGCTTGCTCTGTAAATAGGAAAAACACTCTTGGTTACCATTGCCTTAAAAACAGTATTTACATTCACAATCAACAGGACAAATGACCCTGTCTACTATCCTGGAACACATACAGGCTGAATAACAGCTTCCTGTGCGTGAGCTAGCAGATGATACTACAAATTATAGTCCTGGACACACTGAAAACATTATTCAACACTAAACAAATAACAAGATCTTATTTTCAGTACGAAAAAAACTGAAATAATAGCTTCCTGTTCTGTGTTGAATGCTATGGATCTAAAAAGGCAGGTATAGTAAATGCTGTGTTCTTCACAAAACCTTCTGTTTAAGAGTCTGTTAAGACATCGTTAACTGAAAAGACTTTTTCAATGAAATGGAAAGAAAGCCACTGCTCATTTCTGAGCAAATTAGTTTATAATCAAAATCATTGTCATTTGTTTTCCTTATATTTGGGACGTAGTTCTGCTGGTCTCAACCAAAGATAGCAATGAACACAAAAGACAGGAGCAAGAGGCTCCTAGCAAAGGCAACTGAAAAATGGCAATTCAAATATCCCTACTAAGCTGCTAAATTTCTGTTCACTCCTGAAAAACCTCATCTTGTTAGCATGATTTATGCATGGACTTGTACTTCAATTCACAGAAAAGGAAATCATTGTCACCAGAGTAAGTGATACAAACAAATACAGATAAACTTTTTGGTATTACACTGTACCAGCAAAGTCTTGGACCAGATGTAGACAATAGGAGCTCGCTGTTGATTTTAATGTAATGAAAATGTTACTCTAATCTGAATTCCTATAAATTATGTACAACATTAAATCTACACCCCAGGACAAATCTGATGAACCAAACTTTTAAATGGAATGTCCATCAAGCTAAGTGAGACATTTAAAAACAAAAAAAGGATAAAATGATAGACACTTGTTGTGCTAAAGATTTATTTAAAAGTTACACATTACATGAATGAGATCAGTTGGACTTACAGAGAATAATACAAAATCCCTGGCAATTTCCATACATTTTCTTTTCTTTTTCCTTTTTTTTTTTTTTTTTTTTTTTGCACAAGAGTTATGAAACGTTTTCTTCCTTTGCTCATGAACTCTTCATAGCAAAGAGAAAAATGTATCTTGATTGATTCTTTCTCAGTTCTCCAGCATTCACTTAGCTGAACCACGGAGTCAAGAAGGGAGTCTTCCCTGCAGACACCGTCCCACTCAACTGCATGTCAAAAAAAGCCAAGTGACACTTGGCTGTGTAAGTCACTACCCAAGTCAGACCACAATCCCCGACATAGACTGCAATTCCTGCATCCATCTTGTAGGCGTAACGAGATCTGCAGGACCACGACGCTATTATTCAGGCAGTCTAGCTCAGGCTGTCTAAAACCTCATCCATGCTTTGGGCATGAGATAGCAGGGCCTTCGTAGAAAAGATCTGAAGTTCAGCTGCCTGCCCAGTGGGGGCTATGTGACAGTCTCTCAAGGACGAAAGGGACGGATAGCAGAGGTTGGGGCGCGGCACAGAACCTCCAGGCCACCCACAGGGCTCTTAAGCTCGCATCAGGGTCCCAAGCTTTCTCGTCCAGCATGGCCTTAAGCCTGGCTAAAACTCGTTCCTGGGATTAAGGCTTATATTCAAATAAGGCAGATTCAACTTGAGTTTGGGCCTGAAAGAAGGCTTGTGACTCCTCTCAAAACAGTACAGGCATATCATAGAGGCAGCAATAATTCGCTTATCACCCTAAGAGAAAGTATGGCAAAATAGCCTTCATTTGTATAAGCACACTGCAAATCTTCCAAGGAAAGCACACCAAGAATGCTAGAACTCATGACAGGCAGAATGCAACACTAGATTAAGACATCTAAAATTTAAGTGCCCACATGCTCACATGACCATAGTATTTAAGCTTCTGTTGCGATCACTGGAGTCAATACCTTCAGCGGATTTTAAAACAGACATCGAGAGTGGGAATCAGTTGCCTAAGCACAGGCGTTTTGTGTCAGTTTAGCTATTGTGGAGTACTTGTGAATAGCTCTACCTGCTCCTACAGATTAGCCATGCTCTTCTGGAACTCCTGTGTCATAGCTGCCAGCCCCATGCAGATGACTGGGATAGTCTAGGGCACCTAAAATGGCACTAGACACTTCTGCTCAGGCATCTAAATCCCCTCCCAGGCGGCTGTTCAGGCAGTCTCCTCTGCAGGGTGTACTGACATCATACGTTCGCTGACTTTTAACTGAGCACAAGAATTGACACCTACATAGTCACAGAGAAGATGACGATACTCTTCAACAGGATGCACCGAGGGCAGGACAAGAGGCAACAGGCACAAGCTGCTTCAGGGGAAATCCCATCTAGATATAAGGAAAAACTCTTCACCATGAGAACACTTAAATTGAGAAGCCAAGAGAAGCGATGGAATTTCCCTTCCTGGAAACGCTAAGACTGAGCTCGGAAGGGCCCTAAATAACCAAATCTTCCAACAGAAGGTTGGACCAGACGACCTGAGAGGTCCCTTCCAACTTACATTTTTCCATGGTTCAGATGTCTTAATCTGGAGCTGAATCCCACCCAAGATCAGAAAACAAGATTCCAGTTTCTAGTTCCGCAACAGAGCTGTCTGTCTTAACCTTCCTCTGTCTTCCGAAAGAGGGACACTATTACAAAGTCTATTTCACATAGCACTGATAGACTAAATTAATGATTATAAAACACTTGGGAACATTCATTTCAATGAAACCATGTGAGAGCACACACAGTTTTGCTTTAAAAAACCCAAGCACCAAACCAACTGAGTTCTCACACTCCACCCAGTAGCAACCACTCAGAATGCGACAAGAAACTGCAAACGCGAGTCTGAGAAAAGGGACTCAACTGTATATAAATTTTTCCAGTAGTCAAAAATAAGCAAGAACACAGTCCCACTGGCTAGAACGCAGGCTATTTTTGCTTATCCAGTTGTGCAGCTCTGGTACACATGGCTCTTCCACCGAATGTTGTAACCCTGTTAAGCATGAGACAAGTACTTGACTTTTTAGGTGAGAGGTCCAGCACTATTTGAAAAGGCAAAGGGGAGAACAGGAAAGAAGAAATGCATATAGTAACTGCTCCCTGAATCTTAAGCACACCAACTTTGGGAAGCGAAAGTATTCGCTTTAGTAGTAAGAAAGAAACATGCAATTCCTCCCCTTCAACAACTGCGAGAAAGTAATTCTATACAAACCAATAAAACAGAATCATCCAGGAAGGCAGCATTACTCCAAGTCCATACTGAAATGTCTAAACAGCAGTATGGGGATCTATGTCACAACAAAGAAACATCCAAGCTCAGCCTATGTGCAGAAGAAACCCCCACCACCCATCACCCTGACAGAACAGATTTTGCCTGCGGCATGGACCCATCCCTAGGTCTACCCACACCTCTTAACTCTGCAGCAGCCACAAGGGGAAATCTTGGTAGGAGGACAGAACTGCACAAAACCTATTTTGTCCCAGGCAAACGCATAGGGTTGAATGTTCCAAAAGAAGGCAATCACTGCAACACAGATCTGTGCTAATCACAAAGGGAACCTCAAACAGATAAACACAAAACCATACTTCCCAATAAGACCAAAGAGACCACGGGTGTTTTTGTCTATTTTTAACTACAACTTAATGAAGAGATATTTAATTCTAAAAGCAAGGCTTACGCATTTTCCCTTTCCAAGTTTCACTATTTATAAAACAAACTCCAAGAGGCTGACATCCGATATACATGAATCATTATGTATTGTACTTTACTTAAAAAAAAAAAAAAAAAACAACCGTAAAATGTACAAACCCCTAACCTAAAACAGGGCATCATTAGTACTCTAAAATGCTTTTAGTTTTCTCGTTTCACTGCTTTTAGCAGCATAATTTTAATTTCCAAACACTGCACAATATTTACAAGAGGATTTTCTTTTTATATTTAAAAACCAAAGTTATGGAACAACTATCGTGCTTTCATAAATCATGCATTATGCAAATGTAAATTTCTGCATGTCTGCTTTTCCAAACACACAAGAGAAATGCTAAAAAGAAGGAAAAAACACTCCAAATGACTTGCACAGTACCGTCCTTTACCATAGCTCAACAGTTTGTTTCGGTGTTACAGATGGATTTGGTGCTAACATTGTGTAAACGCATACTGTGCTGTCAGCCAGCTCTCAGTGAGATTCTTTGAAGGTGCAATAACAATTCAAAACCACAGTGAAAAGACGGCATTTGGAAACCGGCAAAAAATATAAAAAAAAAAATTAAGAGGGACTCAGTTTTTAAAAGAGTTCAACAAAAAATATCTGTAAAGTTGACTATTTAAATCAAATGTGAAGAGGTCCGGACTAGCTCAATATTTTTCTCACATTAGTTAAATAAATAAAACCCACACAATTAAAGGCAGCCAGAGTTTCAAGTCAGTGAACCATTTCTAGAGACCTGAATAGGGTATACGGGCACATAGCCAATGAACAAAGGCAAAACTTAAAAGCAACATGCTTTTCCCTCTTTCTCTCTCTTTCAGCTGTCACAGACTTTGTTGTTATTTTTACCTGCAGTCAATACAGTGATTTCAGACTAGCGCCTGCTTTTTTTCTTTTTTAATGTGACAGAACCCCCCCCCTTTTTTTTTTTCTTCAGTTATCCCATTATTCCTTCGCAGCTTGGCCTGTGACAGCCTCATACACTTCTGTCACAAGTAACAGCTTTGCTCAAAAAGCTGGCAATTTTGTAAGAGCATCCACAAGAAAAAATAAAACTGAAAAAATCAATGTCCGTAAGTTCTTGAAAAGTATCCCCTAGTATGAGGCAAACAAACAAACAAAAAAACCCATAGTAAGTATAAACTGCATTAGCAGGATCGTTGCAAAGAAAATTACCATTTTCTTGGCAGTTTCATGGAGCGCTTACAACTCTCACTTCCTTCCACAAAAGGAACGTTGGAATTAAGGCTCATTACAGGGGTCTAGTCTCCTCTGATACGTGCAC